CAGACATTCCAAAGTAATTAAATCATTCCTGCATAGCTAGATCCACCCTGGAGTCGCGGCAACATAGATGGGAATCCAATTATCTTAGCTGAAAAGAGTTTGAGGTGGTGGCGATATCTTCTAGTTCTTCGTTTCACAGGTTGGAGGAAAACCCACTCCAGTGGTCAGCTTTTTTCCTAAATATTTCAAAACGGTTCCCTCACATTCATTTGTCTATATGCTTCATATTTCGCAGCGATGTCGTTCCAAGATTTTTTCATGGGCTCTTGCTCACTGTGAACCTTCAGCATCAGCTAGTCTCGCTTTGTGTATTTTGACCGGCCTTGAAAGACAGGCTGCAAGTTTGGTCTTACCGCACTGCATGCCGACAGTTCGGTCAAGTGCGGGAAGAACGCCCCTTGAAGAGCGAAGACCCTAGCCAATAACATTACTCGTAGTATAGGCAAAGTGAAAGCATATTCAATTTCGTCATTTTCTGTGTACTTTTTCCTTTTTCTTCCTTTACTCATGAAAGTATTCCTTTGCAGAAGATGTATATGGACGTAGGTAAATATTTTTTTGTTAGGCGTGCTATTGATCTCCGTCATCGTTTCCGTCTTGGGAAACACCTTATACATACATTTCAATACATACGCTTGAGGGTGTTTTTGGATGTGTAGGTGCGTCCTGGGTGTTCGACCAGATTCCATGATTCCTCTCGCCCAAACCAAATTCGTTAAGATCTTTCAAACCTGGAAAGCGCAGGCGATGGGAAGGAAACATGAAGGCGACATTAGGTGTCAACAACTGAAAACGGACGAAAGGAAGCATAAGAGGACAAGATCCACTTCAACGGTTGCACCTCTCGCATTAACGCTGAATTTATGAAGCGATGGCGTGGCGGGTGGTGAGGGATACCACGGTAACGCATATTTTTGGTGAATTATCAACAGCTGAGAAGGGGAAGGAGGCAAAGGTTTTTGGGTCTCTTTGCGATTTGACCAGTTGTCTGAACAACATGTACAGTCGTCTCAAAGAAGTTTCGAGGAAGCAACTCTTAAGAAAGCCTTTTTCTGTGGTCATGGTAATGTACGATGGATTAAAAACACCATACGTACACCGCATGGCTTCGCAAGAGGACTCAACGTCATGTTTGGGTCACCAAGGACTAAGCCTACTCCTCTTTCTGCTAACACTGAATGTCATCAGAGGAGCACTCAGATAGGGACCGCTGGTTACCATTCTTTGAGTCAAGGTAGACGAGAACTTTGAGACAAGCTGCAGAAATGGTAGCGCTTGCTGGCAGAGAGTGGAAGCCGGTTGAAAGGGTATTCCAAGTAAGAGCTGATTGGAGTGCGTAGAGCCTCTAGATCTTTCTGGATGGAGAAGCCGATAAAAGAGGGCGGAACTTTCGATATCTGACGATCTAGCCACGGGCGGTAGCCTGGATCAGTCTGTAGAAGCTCGACTTAGTGCATACTGGCTAAACCTACCAAATCCCTCAAGACCAGTGTCGCATTTGTAGGTCTTCTGCTGCAGAATTGCCGATTTTTTTTTCAGAATAATGAGACGCCAGTCTTTTATTGAATTGAGCAAAACGAAAGAGAACAGAAACAGAATGGAGGGGTTTGGCACTATTACATGTGGCACAAGTTAATGCGCCGTCCTTTATCTGGTAACTCATGGTCTGGTGATATATTTGCTTGTAGCAGCATACTATCACTTGTTAAACACTGCAATCCAAATTCGAAGCTGCNGCAGCTTCGAATTTGGATTGCAGTGTTTAACAAGTGATAGTATGCTGCTACAAGCAAACATATCACCAGACCATGAGTTACCAGTGTGCAGAGTCTAGTCTGCCATATAATACATATATGTAAGTGTTCCCATTCTGACACCCGCACTTTTAAAAGGTTGAACGCTTTAGGTCTAGAGGAAAAGAAGTTGCGAATATCTGGTAAAAAGAAACATACACCGACACACATATATGAACACACAAACACAAACACACTGGCAAACGAACGGATATCTTTGACGCGCTATGAACTCTGGATTTCTACAAACACAGCACGTCAGGCATTGCCCACTATGTACTACAATTTTTTCTGGCTTTCAGATCTTTTGCTACAACCAAGTCTTGAATCCTTTTTGAAAGACCCCACCCCCACCTTCCGCGACGCTCCGCAGAGGACGATGAGTCTGCTTTGTCTGATTTGTTGATTTATTTCCCTATCCTTCGCTTCGCCCACTTCTACCTGGTATCTGATTCCAGTAAGTACTCTTACCTGCTGCTGGGATGATTCCGGTAGATGTACCTACTCCTGTAAACAGGGTTTCGCGAACCCGTATGTGCTCTGTTGACGTTACCCTGGCCTGGTTACCCTATTCAATGATCCCGAGGTTGGCCCAACTTCCTGGAGCTCTTCAGATAATACCGAATTTATCGATAAACAAAAAGACATACAAAAGATGCTACAGACAGACAGGCAGATCGACAGACAGACAGACAGACAGACAGACAGACAGACAGACAGACAGACAGACAGACAGACAGACAGACAGACAGACAGAAAGCAGACTGATAAATAGACAGGCAAGGAAATAAACAACTAGATACACCAAACTTGTGATTGTCACTCGGAGAACAACGAGAATAATGGAATCCTCTTCCTGTAAGTAATGGTTGATAAGAAAAGTATGTAGTGTGGCGAGTAGGCAGAAGAGTAGATTTGTACATATCGGGATGATCCTGGATATGTGTAATAATAAACAACAGAAAAAATTTAATCTGAGTATTTAACAATTTTGAATTTGCTAGTTCATCAAACTCGTAGACGTACAGTTTTCTTTTAGAGGTTTTGTCAGTATGAACATTATTTCATATTATTTTTTATTTCCAGTAAACTTGTATGATAGGTCGACGCGAGTCGATGATGTGTTTCTCAATTTAACAAGGCACCACTGCAGATGTGGTTGTGTCGTCTTTGGGTCTCTCGAAATACGGGATTTGGACGGTGAGTTAATCATAAAATACGTCATATTGAGCCTCCACTAATTACTTAGTCCATAACCTATATTCGAAGTGATTGTTGCGGGATCATGGGTACTGGTGAAACCAGCACTTGAAAGTTCAAAGAAAAAGGTTAAGAAAAACTCTAGCGACACCAGTCAAGTACTTTGTATCACCTGTTCTCTCGTTTATTGATTTCCTTGAGCAGGAGCTAGCTCGTCTCTCTTTTCCGAGCCAGAGTATTCCACTGGGTCGACCTCGCCTGAGAGAGACGAGGCACAGCAATCCTTCTCCTTCGAAGCTTTTGTGAAGATTGTTCATTGTGGTGGCTATTAATCCGTTTCCCATCAACACTCGTTTCCAATTTCTTTAAATTTAGAAGTGTTCACAAGCCCGTCGGAATGGCTCTCTCCGCCTTCCCTATGTTTGGTGTTATAAACACGACGTCGTCTGCAAAGCAAAATAATGTATAATGAGTAGTGGCCGTGGATCTCTATTCCCAAGTCTTCCATCCAAAATGACCCATGATGTTCTCGAGCGGCACAGAAAAATTGTGGTATGGATGGTATCGCCCATAAAAATCCGTCAAGTGTCAAGCCTTGGCACGAACCGATGTTCTTGTCCAAGTGCACGTTGACGTGAACACCTATGTACGTAGCCGATCCCTCTGCCATCGCATGGCAGCGAGGGTGTGTTCTAGCTACGTTCAACTCCATGACACTGTATTTTATCCTCCTAGCTTGCATCATCAGATCTTCGATACATCCTTTCGATGCAAGTTTTCGTGTATAGAAAATACGGATCGCCATCTTAGTCCTTCACCTCCTGGGCAGCCCCTAATGGCCCTCAGGTGTGAGTAGCCTCTGCTTAGCACCCTACACAACGCGGTTGTAAAAGAGTCGATTCCCCATTTTCGTCTCAGCATTTTTTTTATTAATAATCCACGCCGCTACCCTCTCCAATAAGATAAGCTTCTTTGAATCAAACAAACAGAATCATGATCGCTGTGCTACAAATTAATTCTCAAAATCTTTTTTCAGGTGAAACCGTCGATCTGACTCCATTGAAAAATATATACGTGATTTTCGGTAATCTAACTATTACGGGGAACACTCGATTATATGATCTCAGCTTTTTGGAGAATCTGAACAGTATTGGAAATTACAGTAAGTCAATTTGCCTTTCCTATACACATGAACTATAGAGTTTCGCAAGATTTAAAAATTGGGAAGAAGGAGTCGTTGAATAACCACATGAGAAAACACTACTGAAACAAGAAAACGTTCTAGCCAGAGCTCATCACACATTCGTTACTTTTTTCGCATTTTCGCATTAGCAGCTTGAGGCTTTCAAGTCTTCCGCAAAAGTTTGAATACTATGGAAAAGTCTATCGAAAGCATTGTGGGCAAACGACTGTCGTATCCTCGATCATACAGTACCTAAATGCTCAAGGGTTTTTCCACTCGATTTAGCGACAATTACCATAATCTATCTCGATGAATTCGAATTTTTCCACTAATTGTAAGTAGTGCGTGCGATCGGGTCAGATACCAAACTCCACTATCACGCTTGCTGAAACCGAAACTGGCAATTTATTTGCTAGGCGAAATGTTACATCGGCCTATAGGAAGGGAGGGATTGCAGCTTCTTCTCACTAAAACATTTTTGTCATTAAAACATGGTTCCATCGAGTTTATTTTAAGTATGACTTTCTATTATATATGAGATATGAGGCCAGCAAATCCCTTTGACGCATCGAGACATACTGCATAGTACTCACTCTCCATTCTACCTCACAGCATGCAAGGTTTCTCTTCATTCTCTTCGTAGTTTAGCTCTAACGAGGGCTCTGTGCACATCAGGCCCACTGCTGCTGAAAGATTTAAGTAACAAATCGACATTGTTTCACCACATACATCAAGCGAGTATCAAATTAGCGCAAATGATTAGCTTGCTACGCGACAGTTACGTTTTTCTCTGAGCAAGTAACACGTTTTGAAATAAACTCAGTGTTCACCCGGCTCTTGAAAGAAAAAAAACGTCAGGAACTAGCTTACCGCTGCAATCTATATCTGTAAAAACTCACTCATGTACTCGTTAGGTCATAAACGAGTATCTCACTATCAAAATAATTGATTACTTAGGGTATCGATCCTTGGATAATTCTGCCCCTTTATGAGGTTATTTCACTGCTAACACGGGATATAAAATTCGGTCGAAAAAACACACACAGGCCAACACGCATACGCACCGACATACAAAAACACAAACACTGACAAACTAACGGACACACTTAGCAAATTATATACGATATAGTAGTAGTAATATGAGTGAAGTGCGGGTAGAAGGGAACCAGTAGGGAGTATAGAGCATCAACTGGACCGGTCAGGCTCAGACTCCTCGCTGCACTTCAGCTTTTTCACCTCCTCACTGCAGCTATTCCCATGCTGGATAGTGAAAATGTGGCTGTTCAGCTGTCTATCGATGCGTGACGTACGTTATGGCCGCAGATTGATGATAATGAAGGTGATGGGTAAAAGTTGGGACTGAATAGTAGTCAAGCTTCATTGACTCTGAAAATCGGAATCATGAAACTGTTTGCTTAATATCACGAAGTTTCTAAAAATTTATAACTTTGCTGAAATGATAGTATTGCAGGTGCTAAAATAACTGATACAGCATTTGAGCTGAATGGGAACGTAGATTTGTTTGATGCTTACATGGAGAACTTAGTGAGAATCCATGGAGATATACGAGTGTATACTTGTTGGAAATTACCCGAACGCACTGAGAAATTGTTCAAAGATTTAACACGAAACAAGGCAGTTATTGAACCCGAGACTAAAGGCTGCACACGCGAACTCCACGAGAAAGGTGAGAGTACCATTACTTTTCATTACTGTGGTCTTACCAAAACGTAAACATTCATTATTTTATATGGCTTTGCAAGCTCTTTTACATTTATGTCGACTTAGCACTGTCTTTCTTTTGAACGTGGTCATAGTTCACCAAAAAAACATGGAGTAGGGGTGAAATAGTGTCTCATTTTCATCGAAAAAGAGAAGCCAAAAAGGGTATTTCAAAATAATACGGCTTGTTAAATGCACAGTTCACGATGGTCCTGAGGTGTCTAGCTCTAGTAAAAAAAATTACGTTGTGGAACAAAATGATGCAAAGATGGCGGAGGGATATAATAGGCTAGTCTCACGAAATGGAAGGCTTTAAAAAAGTAGTAAGAGAGAGCTTCATACGAGGTCATGTTTTTGTAACCGACTGGGTGTCTTACACGGTGAGCGTACTATTCGACAACGTCCTAGCGCTTCGTTGTGACTGGTACAGCCTCAACAAAGCCGTAATACTACAGCCTCTTTCGCGTAAATACGTCTGCCAAATCGGTTTTAGAGCCCTTGTGACTCCCTGATAAGCTCGTTTTTCAGCCCACAAATAGTAGTATTGCGTGCTATTTGTGGGAGAGACAGGTTTACCCCACGGAGGAAATGTCACAAACGATTTTTATCGTGAACTTCGCCTTCAAAATAGTCTTTCTTCCGAATTATTACCGATAACCCAGACTATATAATTACATGTACTCGTTTTTCCATAACCGCCTTCGAAAAAACCAGTGCTAGTGAAGGACCTACAAAATGACCTATCATCGCTGGAGAATCTTCCCTACTAGCCTAAAGCGTCCTCGCAACCAGAGTTTTTCTCTTTTTTTCACTTTTTTTTTCTTTTTTTCTATCATGAGTTTATCTTAGCCGCAGATGTATAATACAAGACTGGTCGGAAGACTTTTGAAATTTCCAATCGGGAAACGCGTGTTCACGTTTCCGTTTTTTCTGTTGTTTGTTACCAGTTGGATCGCGCTCTCAACATTTCGTGTTGAAATTGGCCCACACTTGCACTACTTTTGTTGAATTTAAACGCTCTGGTTTAGGGCAAAGAAGTTGTTACGGCCAAATTGCGGCTCTGTTGCGGAAAAATTGCAATTCGATTCGACTTGATTGCATAATTTTTATTGAAATTGTGATCATTTCACACGTTTCACTCACTACCTCAGTCTCCTCTTAACCCACCACCCCTTCCCCCAGGTGGAATCCAGCTTAGCCACTTCCTACCACCTATCATCAATGTTCCCATCTTGCCGTCTACCCATGTGGTACGGACCATATAGGCCCATGGATTGGAAATCTGAATTTCCGGTCAGTATTTATATCGCTCGCGCTCGTTCCCTAAAGACGGATCTAGCCCTAGCGCTAACCATAAGTGTTCCCATCTCGCTGCCTGTACTCCAATGAAGATTGAACCTTCTCCTCACGGGAACAGGACTTAAGAATCTCCGGTCAAACACAAACGCACCTACAGACACACACGCACCACATTATTTAGTATACATATATAGTAGGATTACTTCAGAGCTGGTTTCCGTAAAATATCACACCGAAGTCTACTAATCCGTGTCTTCAAGGTTCTACTATGAGATTTTCAAAAAGCGTCAACCCGAACCTACTTGATTTTACCATCTTGGACTACAGCAAGAACTCTGGAGGGCTGTTGTAACCGACATCATTACAAGCGAGCGTTTCCCTTGCTGTGTGGTCCTAAATATGAATAAGAAGTCCATCTTGGTGACTTGACCATTTTAAACTTTTATTTTGTGCATTTCACCACTTGACAGGACAGAACTGCATTATCTACTGTCCGACCTTTGAGAACAAATGCAATCCTTCTGCACGCTGATTCTCGATTGAAACGAGCAGTTGTTTTGCTCAGCACATGGTATGGGACCAAGAATCGCACTAGTATATTTGAATTAAAGATCTGCAATAATGTTAACCATTCGCTGACACCCCCACATTTTCGCCCTCTAGCGCAGATCACTATGCATGTATCGAGTCGCTTGCTCACTTCGGATTTACCAGATGGGCTGATGGGGAACAAGAGGCTGCGAATGGAATCAAAACAAACTTCGCATAGAGAAATAATCTTCCACCAATGGATAGCGATTTCTTCCAAGGATTCGACTAGTTTTGATTGGAGCCGTGCAATCAATCTGGTGCGAAGGAAAGGGAATAGATCGTGCACTAGTATTTGCAGTCACTCAGAACAATCAGCTCATATTGGGAAAGTTGGCTACACTATTCCTGCAAAGCTCTGGCTGTAGTCCGGGGCAGTTTATTTATTTTATCACTGCCTTCTAAGACATAACGAAACAAACTCCAAACTTGAGAGTGTGCTTGAAACAAGGGTCCCAAACTGTTTGTAAATTCTAGAGCATCATGTGGCGAAAACTCGGTGAACTAGTTTTATTGATTTAATTCACGTTAAAAAATTTGTTCTGCCGGAGATACACCAAAACCAAAAAGAGTGTCATCGCGGGGTGTTGCATAGGTGAATTGATGAGAATGACTGGCAATGAAAAGACCACTTCACTGTATGAACGTGGTCCAGTCGAGTATCTAAGTGAAACAAGAGCGAATAGCCAAATTGGCTAAAGCCATTAATTTTCTTAGAAAGGGTGCTATGATAGAACGCGAGGGATCCCTGAAATCAAACTCAGAACTCCAACGGCTGCTTTGCCAGTTGGATTCCGTCTCAACGCCGCTCCCGACTCCATAACCTCCACTGCGCTGGCAATGAACTGGCATGAAAAGGATTTACCGTCTGGGCTGTCAAGGTTTTTATTTTCTTTTTTTCGAGTCCACCTCGTTCAACTCTTTGCTCCATCCTCTTATAGTGAGATGCCAGAACAGCTCTTCTTTTCATTTTTACAATCCTACATATGTCTGATTTAAAATGTTCATTATATCGGACAGGCCATCTTGGCACTTCGAAGGCCTCAGATGGAAACGATCTGTGCTTTCAAGGGAAAAATAAATAACGTGTTTAGTCTGCCTAGATCTTTCTTCCTGTGAGCTTTCCTAGAGATCATAAGTAAAGTCGTAAAGTTACAAATGGGCGATCTCGCGCGTGGGAATGTATTTTTACTTATTTACAGAAGTAGAACGTGAACAAACGGTCGATTCTCGCCGATGGAATATATCGGAATCTGGAAAATGTGAGTGCGCTCAACTTGAGGTTTTCGGCAATCTTTGGTGGTATGAAGACTCTTCCAGTGATGGAACATTGTTCACAATTTGAAAGTGTGCAAAAAGTTTTGCTTCGGTGTCTTGAATTTCGTCATTTCGTCGCAGCTTGACTTCACCTTCCCTTAAAAGCTGATGGAATTCTTTTTCTTGGAGCAATAGTAGACTTGACATTTCTCAAAAAAAATTCCTATTATCGCGAGCCTTAATAATGAGTAAGCGTTCGAAAACAAAACGGAGCTGAATGTGTGCAACTTTGCTAAAGTTCTACCTACAAAATCATCAATGATTCAGAGGTACATCTGCAGAATTTTTTTTATATTCGTTCACTCAAAACCTCCAGTTTGTTCGAAGTCTAAATCACCCGTTAAAAGCATCAATTGTGCACCAAAGTTAGGCTTCTCCTTAACTTTTAGTTTCTTAGTTAATAATATCAGAAAAACAGACATTTTTAGCAAAACTGGGAGCTATTCACATGCTGTGTCGTGTTCGGGAGACTCAGACTGAGGTTTATAAAAGAACGAGTGGACGTGCGGTAGTAAGCTGCGACGCACACGGTGGAAGAAACTGGAGATGAATTGGTCGTGAAGTGTGGCCATGCCAAACTTCTTGCAAAACAAGTATCCAATTCAAGCGATGGCTCTAAAGCCACCTGAAATTCCAACATTGGAAAAAATTTCAGAACGTAAGAAGCGCACTTTTTGAAGCATGCATTGGTGAATCTCTATATAAACGAAAAAAAATTTTCCATGGCAAAAAAAAAAAACTCAAAAAGCTAAAAGCTGATTCAGAAATTCCTGAATTACTCCCATCCCTATTGATACTAGAAACAAATGGGTTAAGCCCACTAATTGGCACAATGGGAAACCTCTATGTGTTCGCACTTTACTCTTGATGTACTCAAATGTCTGACTATATACATACATTCCTCAACTCACAATGCTTCTTACCTAGTATTAGCTGAAAAAATCTCCCTGAAATATTTTTGTTTGTCTTTTATTTATATTACTACATCGCTTGAATGCATTTGTTTCGTTGAGCTCTAGGAATCCAACTAGCACGTCGTCATATACCATGCCCTCAAGCTTCAAGGAGAGCACTAACCATTATGTTATGGATTTAGCCTGCTTCGCCGGAAATGATAGCCAACTATACGATCTCTTGGTGGAACAGTCATATGCGCGTCTCATATATGTGAACAGCACGTTCACTCCAATGTTGGGTAACTACACAATATGCGAACACTTCTATGGGTATATGAAGTTGTATGGTAATGAGAGCAGAGCAGCTGAAATTGGTTTCATTCAGGTACTGTTATAGTATTCTTATACGTATTATATACTGTAAGAATTGATCATTAGTGTTCATATATCATGTGAAATAGCATATTTCATAAGAATGCACGGTTGAGGGAGTACAGCAGACGTTTCAGTGAATGTGCACATTCTACCATCCCTTTGGGAGCGTTGTACAAATCTTCCACTCAAAAACTGGTAGAATACCTAATTTCTTTTCTAACTTCTATTGTGTTTAATGAATTCAATGTTAGATACAGCAAAAGTGGGATGTGGTGTGGTATGATTTGCAGAAACATTTATGTATTGGTTCTTCCTTAGCGTGTTATCCCGCTAGAGTTGACTTTGAACGAGTATGGGTACATTCGTGTGCAGTAATGCGCGCGGCGATATTCATGGCGATTTTGACGATTTCGGCGCCTATTATTGTGCCACAGGATAAAAGTAAGGAAGATCATTAGGATCAGCTAGTGCTACTGATATTCTTTACTTAAAATTCAGGCCCCAGAGGTAGGCGCTCGAGTCGTTCAAATCGCCGTGAACTTCGCCGGCAATTTTCCGCCCGCACCTACAAACGCCCGATTGTTCCGTCCCCCCTTGAACACAAGTGAAGTACTTCTGTAAAATTACTGTTTCAAAATATTGACGTACAAGTTTGCAAAAGTCCTATTGTTTCTAAATATGCTCGGATGATAACAAACTCGAAACACCATCCATCCGGTAATAACAGCTCACTACCACCTACCAAAATATATTCATAGAAGTTTTTGGAAGGTTGTTCGTACATAGGACCGAGCGAGCGAGAGTTTCAAATGTACGAGAGTTGGTTGGTCGTCAGCTGACAAAGCCGGACAACGATCGATTCCGCACGTCGGCAGTGACCAATCGTTTTAATTTTCATTCGGCACAGGCGCTGAGCGGCTCAATCGTTAGAGGTGGTATTACGTACAAATACGTATCGTTGCGCAGAAGAACTTAAACAACATAATCAGACAAACCCTACGTGTGGGCGGCTGCGTTGCGGTTTCGCGCTACAGCACGTTATTTTGGTTTGTCTTGGCACTGCGAGTAGGCCTTGATGACAGAATACTTCCTCTTTCATAACTCTGCTTATTCGCGGATGCGTAGTGCGGTCGAGAACATTATTTTAAGGTGATTACTAGTTGTAGGAAGTAATTTCCACTATCAATGAACTGCTAAACTATAGTTTGGTAATGTATGCCTCTTTTCCTGCATGTTTCCTCTTTCATGCTTCTTCCAAGACCAATGATGGGTAGTTACCTTCACCTAGTGAATGGCTAGCGAACACTGCTATGTGTTCTTTTTCTATTGCATGCTTCTTGGTTTCTGCTTCTTCTGGGGACAACTGCAGAGTAATGACCTTCACTGATAGAGTGTTGAACCCTCATTTAGGAGTATGTCAACTACTGTACAATTGAAGAGCAATCTTGATTAGGTGTGAAAACTACATTTTCATTGTGCTGTCTGCGTATCTTTATCAAGCGGGTGAAAGATAATAAACTGAAGAAAATGGCAACAGTAAGAAGGTAAAGGATCATGAGAAAAATTCTGAAATGGAAAAGTTTCAATTGTGTTGATCAGAAATTCTGTTTTTGTACACAGGTAAAAGGTGAAATGCGAAAGCAAACGGAATATTTTACAAAATCAACACTCTTGGCAGTGATAATGGGAGTTTTCTGCTGAGAAACCTAACTTTTTTATCGAAGCTTTGGTTTTTCACTGCTGTTATTCTCTTCATTCAATAATTCTGACTTGCTGCATATCGATATGCGAGCAGCGCAGTGATCATGAAGTTTCCACACCCAAGTAAGATCGCCTCGCGCCTTCCTGCCTTGCCTCTGTTTCATTCTCCATCTAATCAGCTTCCCTGTTTTCTGCACAGTCGCTGGCGATTACACACGACGTGTTATTGAGACCCCTCCATGGCTTAAATGTCGTTATCTATAGCTTCTTTCGATTGGATGAGCTGTGTCAGTCAATCGTACAGACGTTGGCATACCTCCAAATCAGGTTTCAACACACTCACTCAATAAAGGTCATCACTCGGCAGTTATCTCAGAAGAAACACAAACCCAGAGGCCTGCAATAGAAATAGAAACATATAACAGTGTTCACTTGCCATTCCCTAGGGTAGGGTAACTACCCATCAACGGTTCTAGAAGAAGCACGAGGAAACATGCAGGAAAAGAGGCATACATTACCAAGCTATAGTTTAGCAGCTCATTGATAGTGGAAATTACTTCCTACGACTAGTAATCACCTTAAAATAATGTTCTCGACCGCACTACGCATCCGCGAATAAGCAGAGTTATGAAAGAGGAAGTATTCTGTCATCAAGGCCTACTCGCAGTGCCAAGACAAACCAAAATAACGTGCTGTAGCGCGAAACCGCGACGCAACCGCTCACACGTAGGGTTTGTCTGATTATGTTGTTTAAGTTCTTCTTNTTCTTCTTTGCACCTTCTTAGCTTCTTCGCTCATTCGCCTGTGGGATGACCTCTCTTAACTGGCTGGCTTGCTGATCTCTCTGGCAGCCTCAAATGAACTAGTTTCTCTCCCATTTATAAAGCAGTAACTTGTTGTGTCGGTTTGTGTGTTTTTCGGTTTGTAGGTCTGTCCGTCCGCAAAACTTTGTGTTTACGATAAGGGTAGTGATGTGGAAAATCCAGCTCTACCCTATTCCTTCTTATACACGAAGCAGTACTTTGGTTGGTAGGTTAATGGAGTAGAATAATTACTGCGGAGTGAAGTGACAAATGTGAAGTGGATCTCTCAAAGCTTTGATTTTGATCTGTTCTGGCATCGTGCTGTGTGTCTATACAACAAGGTGGGTTAATTGAATATTCAATTCGTACCCCATCCTAACTTTTTGCGAGAGATGATCACCCCGCCCCGGCGCTCCTCTCCTCCTCGGGCTTAGTGTTAGATTAAAAATCTATTCTTCCACCAAGTACCAGCCGATGCACAGGTGAGGTCAGCTACCCCTTTTTCGAAAGCATTATCTCCCCTACCCCACTCCCTCCCAACTACAATTTCTATCTACTTTTTTAAAAGTAAGGTGTGAGGCTCGGCGTAAACCGGCCGACCTGACTGGTTATTTATATGAATTGGAAACTTTGTCATTATCATTTTTATCATTACGTGGAGGGTGTGGAGCCTGAATAATACTCTGGGCGGTTTTGAACTAAGGCGCCTTATTCTACACGTAACGCATTGCGAATTGTTGGGCTGAGCGTTGTCTCATTCGATGATTGATTTTGAGTTTGCTTCTTTCATAATATCTGGGCACTTGTAGCAACTGAAAACGATAACTGGCTGTCTGAGCATTGTTAATGTCACGAGTTCGACGACAGGAAAGAACGGCACATCACCTTTTGAAGAACTCGACTTGACTAACTTGGCGAAAATCGATTATGATGATGCACTTTGTGGTATGTTATTTCTATGATTTTTTATTCGGTCTTTGACATTTTTAGAGCATTTTGGGACCTCTGTCACGACTGGAGGGTTGTCGGAATCGGTTGATCTGCTGCCCGTCGAATTTAACTATTAGGTTGATGCATAAGTTTTCTCCCCAACTTTTTTGTTAATATCTCAATAGCGAAACAACCTGAAGATTATAGTTATGAACCTTCACCTCACTACTCAACGCCAATGGTCAGGCAGCTTGTCGATTCCTTCCTTCCAAAATGACGGGGTGCTGGGACTTGAAGAGGTCGTCGGGTGCCTTTCTGACATAATCTTCTGTTTCAAACTTTTTTTCAATCCAGAAGCGTTGCAGGCGGCCGAACAGCTAGTAGTCGGAAGGAGCGAGGTCAGGGCTGTAGAAGGTCTGCGCGTCTATTAGCCATCCATACTTCTCCAGCTTGGCCTTGGTCGGCTTTGCGGTGTGAGATCGGGCGTTGTCATGGTGTAAGTAGATTTCCGCACTCGTTCCACAGTACGGTCAAAGTGATATTTCAATTATCGCAGCTGGGTAACGTATGTAGAAGCATTAATCGTCTACCCCCTCTCCAGCAGCTCTCAGTGCTCAATGCCTCCTCTGGACCACCAACAGGACAGGAGAACCTTTATAGAGTGAAGGTCGGCTTTTGGGCTGGCTTCTGGCTGTTCTCCTTTGTCTACCATTGCCGCTTCCTCACAGGATTATAGTAGAGGACTTACTTCTCATCTCCAGTAATCGTCGATTCCAGAATGTGGAGGTCCTTTTAGAAAGTGAGGAGAGAATAGCAGGAGGCCACCCTCCTCGAAAGGTCGTAAGCGGACAGTTCATGTGGGACCGATCGACCAAGCTTTGCTATCTGACCGAGCTGTTCCAGTCCACGTACAATCGTCGATTGATTATAGCCGAGCATGGTCGTCATTTCCCTGGTGGTTGGAATTTGGTTATCCTCTACGGTGGAACATAGTACTTCCAAATCCGACTCCAACGGCCGTTTTCTTTTAGCATCTCCGAGAGAAAAGTCTCTTTCCTTGAATTTGGCGAACCAAGTCTTGCTTGTGCAGTAAGAGATGACGTCCTCGCTGTATGTATCCACTGGCTTGTATGGGCTTCCTTTGCATTGCAGCCAGAATCGTGAAGTAAAACCAGGCTATGGCGCAGGTACATTCTGCCAAAGTGATAATTGTGCGGCATTGTCGTCTGCATATGCGGGGTGGGTGAGTGATAGCTAGTGTGATGAAAGAGTATCATGCACTGGTCACGCACACGTGATGACGAAATAACAACATCTATGCAAGCGAAATAAGGATCAAGCTCGAGGAATAACTTATGCATCAATATAATATGTAATATGTACTTAGCTTGGGAAATGCCGTTTATACACTCTCACGCTCTACATCAGTGCCGTAATATCCACTGATTGAAGCTTCACGGAGTCAGATTTCATAGATTAAATGAGCTGTTGATTAAACCCACTGCCTACTAACTAGACCGATTGAAGGCTCTGAAATGCTAATTTCTTCGGAAACCGTAGGAAAATAGTAATCTATGTCCTTAACTGGTTTTGTAGGACTTTCGTATGTTGGGATGTAAAAATTACCAGTTTACACATTAATTGCTCTCATTTTTGTTTTCAACCAACCCTTCCCTAGGAGAAAGAAGTGATCGCTTAGTTGCTTTTCTTCAGCATGTTGAATTTTTTCTAACTATTAAATCGCTTTGGTCAAAGTGATCCACCAGCGGAAGATATGTGTTTTGAGAGAGTATATTTTTGCAGTTCAGTTAATATTGAGGGATTCCTCAAATCTATGTGATGACGCGAAGGCCATTAGTGAGCAGAGCATACTTCCTTAGTAAAACAACTTACAATTACTCAGACACGGACACCACTCTTACTTGGGTTAACCCACTACTTAGAATAATATGAGAGGGGTGGCGGTACTTCTTCCCGGTTCCCATGGCAAATGGCAGTGAATAAACGGCGGCTATGGCATCCTTGCTCGGGGAGTTCAAAAATTTCCGGTCATAGCACGCGATCGGGTTCGACGAACGTGACGCGAATTCCGTGTAAAAGTACCCACATCCTATTATACAACTATTTAAGGCGCAGCTCTAGAGCGATTCGTAGGGAGGGCATTGTTACTTGAATTCATTTTTTTCATCAGTTTATCATTTGCCATATCCATGTCCATTTGTCAGAATACATGCGTGTAAGTTGAACGTAGCGCTTATTGCTTATTACGCTTTTTTTCAGGAGATATTTTTGCTTTACGGATTATGAGGAACAAGTTTCTGCGACGTATCGACTTTAACGAAAACTTGACCTTGAACGGGGTATGCTTGAATTCTCAACTTTCAGCTTGAAAATTCTCTGTTCAAACTCAGGCAAAAACCCGAGTGGGCCAATGGGTCAGAGCAGTTGGAGACACAAATCTCATCTTTATTTCTTTGTGGGATGGCGAGGTGGACTGAGGCCCCACTAACCTTGGCAATATGTTGTTGAGGAGCTTTCCAACTGCTGGAGTTCATTTCGCAGGGGTGCTTTGGTAGGCAGACTTCTGAAAAGAAAATAGTTCTCCCCTACTGATGCTGCCCTAGTTGAATAGGCAAATTTGAACAAAAGGTACTTATTAGATTAAAGATTCATGACTCCTACATCTGATGGTGTAGCGGGAACGAGATCTGTTACACACTAGTCTTGCCTATATATGTTTATTACTAATATAACATTACAAATAGGGCAAAGGGAAAAGGGTTAGGGCGAGGAGGCCATACGGCCAGGGCGAAGTTCCACGGCGGTGGAGCAGGGCAAGTCGACCCGGCTGTCTAAAACCAGCAGCTTTTATGTCGGTCTTGTGTGACGTTGCGCATGTGATTGATGATGAGAGGCGGTAGCGAAGGGAAGACTCGACATACTATTCAATTGAATACGAAGAATTATCGGATTTTATTCGGTTTTCCGGGTATGTCTTACTCTTACTTGGCAGTCAAATGAACAGTAGCTCGAAATCAGAGGATTCAGTGCAATTCTGAATTGGTTAATGTTCCACAGAATTGGATAAGTTTCGACTTCGTTACCTGGAGTATCTCGAAATTAAAAACTTCAGTGGTCGAGTTAATTCAGAGTTATGTAGTTTTGTAACATGGTGAGAACTTTGACTTTGAGAAAAATTCGTCAACGAAAGAAAGAGTTCCCTTAGAACCAGTACATTCTTCACCTTTTTCAGTAGCAGCACCACCTCTAATTCTGCAGTGCACCCACGTAATGGGCTCCTACTTTTTGGCTATTTTCTTAGGAGAAAATGGGATTTAACGAGAATGAACACTCATTTCTGCAGGGCTACTTCATCCGTATGAACTCTGCGGGAGGGAAAATCTATTTTGGTGGGAATCCGAACACCACTTTCCTATGGAGCGATCCAAAAGGTTTGACTTTTTATGGTTTTCCTTCCCACTCCACTTGAGGAAGCCTTTTTCAACTTAGCGCTAGAAGTTACAGTTGGCCTAGTCGTTTCGGAATTTCCCTATCGATTGCCTACCATGATAGATTCTTCCTATCAATGCAGTGTAATGAGTTTCCGTAGCTCATAGTATTTCTCGAAAAATGTCAAAAAGGAAAACTTGTTCATCAATCGGAATCAACTGCAAGAGACCTGGTTGATTGGTAATTGTGTCATATGTTATTATTGTATAGTTGACTCGTCTGTCGAGTTGCAATAATCAGGATTCAGTTGAACACTTTTGAGAAGGAATAATGTTTGGCGGCTCTTTCTTTTATTCAACATTCGAAAAGATTAGGCCGCTTACAATATGACACAAAAGGAACAGATCGGCTTATTTTATTGAAGCGGAAAGTATAAAAAANAAAAAACTCCAACAGGTTGCTCGACTTGCACCCGGCTTTCTACTTGTGTAGTAGGCTCGGAATGCTCAGCGAGCCCTGACCATCGCTTTTCAAATTTCAGGGCATGTTCTCTCGATGACCTTTTGAGAACATGTACGGCGATGCGTGTTTTTTACATATTTTACCCCAAATGCTTGAGAACGAAGCCTTAAATGTTTGATGGGATATGAGGGGCCACGTTCCAAATGATCGAATATTCAGCGAACTTCTGCACATAACATTTGAACTTGATTATCGAACTTTACCTGCTTTCACTCAGTCACGTCTGTTCAGGGAATGTTCTTCTTTTCATGATCTGAATCAGGTGTTGGTGATTTTCTGATGTCCATAAGGCACAGAAAAAACCATAATTGTGAAAAAACGAGGACAATCACGTTGCTTATTCTCAGTGGTCAGCAGGAATATTCACTGCTCTGTCCGTGTTTAAATTTGTAGCTGTTGTCAGTCTGAAAAAAAATCGAATTCTTGGTACAGTTTACACATCTATTCCCATTGTACGTCATTCCATGCGAGCAACCACAGTGTAAACAAAACATCCCTCAATGAAACGGTATAGATCCGCTCCAAAAGGTGGGCAGGAGAGAATGAAGACAAAACTTTTTGGAAGATCTTGCACGACTAAGTGCTGCGAAGCTACATATCACTAGCTCCGAAGGTTTTGCAAGAATCATTTTATCAAACGTGCTAGTCAATACTTGTTGTGCAATTGATCAATCTCTCTCTACAACAAGTACCATCAGAATTTATCTAAAACCGGTCAAATTCCAAAATCTTTCAGTGAAATTCATTGCACTTCTTTGTCATTTCAGACCTGAGAAGCCATTATATGGTAGGTTATACCATCCAACAAGGTCGCGAATCTCGAATAATCGTGGAACTTGATATATGAACTGGCTGATCTCACTCGAGATATTTACATAATGCTAGAGATGAATTTTAGTGCTAACCGCTTAACTTCCGTTCAAAAATGACTTTGCTTTGCAGATTGCGCGCAAGAGGATCCTGTGGAACTGTTGAGAAATTGTACGAACCTAATCGGACCCGTTTTTCTGGGGAATATATCACCAGAACTAAACAGGCGATTTACTTTCGAGCTCATCAAGAGAATTTACGGGCAGCTCATTATAAGGTCGACCAATGTCGATCTTGATGATTATGGATACCTCACAATTATTGCTGACCACAGTGAGTTTCTCAGATATCTACTCACTCCAAACTACTTCATACGGCTACTTCATACTCTTCAACCTCTAGTAACCGAGAAGATAGGGGGAAAAGGACGAACTTTATCAAATTTTTAGCGCCAGGCCGATTGGTCACGCAGAGCTTTAATGAGTTGAGTTAAGAAGTCAGGATAAATGATGTGCAGTACAGCCATTTTAGGTTAAATCATGCGGATGAGACTAGGGTATGCAGGTGGCAGTTTCAACTAGACACAAAATACATTTACATTTCTTTGAGAAGAGATATGGCCTAAATTTCTAGAAAGCAGATTATTTTCTTATCTTTTAGATGAGCCTTTATTTCAAGCAAATTTTTCGCAATGTTGCATGCTTTAAATAAGTGATAAAATAACGAAAAGAGGCTCACTAAATTGTGCTTTGAGTGAAAATCGAGAACAAAGAACATCGCGGAAAATGATTGAGTCAGGGCGATATATAGAAAAATATATGGCTGTACTTTTTCTGGAAACTACGCGAATACTCCGTGATTTCAGAAGACGCGGTGATAATTGAGAATAACAAGGACCTCAGAGGTATCACTGCCCTGACAAAAATGAACATTACGTTGTCGGATAAGTTTCCGAAGGAGGCCTCGGAGAATTGGAAACCAGTTGTAGTGAGAAACAATGGAAAAATATGTCTCAAGTCACGTCGCGACGAAGAAAATGTTCGAAAAAGAGTTTCCACACTACTTCAGTTCTCCGATTTTTGCAGTAAGTTGCAAGAATCTCTCCTTTGTGTTATACTTTCGTTATCATTCGATAGACCATAAAACTTTTGAAGTATCATATATTCGTGCCATATGAGCATAAGGCAGATTCCCTAGTGCTACCCATACATACATATATGTATGTGGTTTGGTTAAAACGTCTTTACAGCTCTATTTGTACATGAAGTACAACGTCGCAATTTTGCAAGAGAGCCATTGTAGCAAAACATCCAAAGTATTAGGTTGTTATGTAAACAGTTTTGAATCATGTTGTGTACATTCCAAAAGCAGTTTCCAAAAGCAGTTCATCTGCTATACAAAATAGTTCTCTCTCTCGTTTACAAAGCAGAAACTTGGTATGTCGCTTTGTCGGTTTGTGTGCCTGTCCGTCCGAGAAATTTATGATTACGATAAAGGTAGCGTTATGGAAAACCTAGCTCTATTCTACATTCCTCTACATTTNGGGGGGGGGGGGGGGGGGGGATTTATTAACTGCTCTGAAAAAGTGGAAAATGGGAGTGGGCGACCCAATTTACTCTGAAACGTTTATTGAATGGGTTCACTCACAGCTTGCGGAATGGGAGATGTAGTCGAAGAAAGTCGGTGAAATGACAGCTCACTCATTCTATATTTTCCACTGCAACAAATCAAACATAGCTGTATCCTTCATTTATTCTAAGTATTTCACTATGCGTTCTTCAACAAGGCTTATCATTTCCTCCTCAATACCTCTCCTCATCAGTCTTTGATGATTGTCGTTTAGTCATGAAAGGCGACAAAAAGGTTACTATCGCGAAAGCATCGTATACTTGTAGAACGCCTCGCTTCTTCAAAATCTATCAGAAAAACCAATTTTGAGGAAAGCCGCCTCCTGGCAACTAATTATTGAACAGTTTAGAGTGGATTGTAAGAGATTACTGGCTGACCTGTTGCAATGGAAAATAGCGATTGAGACAGTTGCCGAAGTTTCCTTGATTTTCCTCTGTCTAAATCTCAATGCTCTCTACCTCACTCTCCGCGAGAAGAAAATTTCATTAACATCGTATCTAATCTTCGATTTATTTCTGGCACTTTGTAGGGCAGATAAATAATTTTCGGATGGCGTATAACAGTATTCGAATCAATATAGGTGAAAATACTGTCGATTACATCCTGTCGGAAGAATGCGGGCCGGGACTTGAAGAAGTCGTCGAGTGCCTTTCTGACCCGTCACGACATTCTGTCGCGGTGGTAATTGTGCTGCAATTTGGTCCAGATTGGCGCAATTCCGCATTACCAAATTGTATAAACATTTGCGCAATGAGTAGAAGGGAATTTCTGTTTTGACAAGGCTTCCTCAACTTGAAGCATCCCCTGCGTGCAAAAATTTCCTAGTATTATAGATAAGTATCTAAAAAATGCATTGAAATAAATAAATAAATAAATAAATAAATAAATAGTGTATCGAGAGCTATTTAACGATACTGATTTGATGTGGAAACGAAATAATGGCCTGAAATTTTATTCCTTAGTGTTCAATCTATCAGACCATTCCTAACTATGCAGTTTTCTAGTACTTTTGACGAAATCTATGAATGGATGATGTCTGGCATCATGAACTTATTTTTAAACGGCTTTTGAGTTTTATAAATGATCGAATTGATCTGTAGTCGATTTCGAAGAGTGCAGGTATATATCAAAAATTAAAGTCAAAATTAACTCAGGAGACAGGTGCGCTGGAGGAATCGTGACCGATCTCACGAGTCTGCAGTCTTGTCGGATAGTGATGGGAGGTCTCACTATCAAAGATTATGACTGTGAGTGATGTTTCAAAACTAATAGCATTTTTCAGTGCTACTTCTTCAACGTTTCACAAGAGCTTGAAGTCCCTCTAATGAAACGTCTTCAAGCTCTCGTAAAAGTATGCTCGAGATGTTACTTTCCTTTTTATTTGCTGGATCTAATCGCACGCTGCAGACATTCAATGGTGAATGGAGCGCGCCATGTATGTGTCAGATTGTAAGAGCGCAACGAACAGATGTGAAACCTGATACGAGTTATGCTTTCATTGCATTAATCGCAGTGGGGGTCATGGTAATATGGGTATGGATTCTGCCACTTGCTGAGAGTAGGGATGGGGGGTCACTTTAGTGAAGTGGACAAAACATTCACTTGGAGAGCACAAGAACTGCTCAACGTTTTGAGAAAAGAGCACTATACATTATAAATAGGTGTCTGATAACCTAACACATCGACTTTACGTCCGAAGGAATCGTTCTTACGTTCAAGGGAAAGGAAACTAAGAATGAACACATGCAGCACCGAAGCATGTCAGTACTGGCATGCTGCCAGGGTAACTCGCCTATCACTGCACTCGTTTTTCAAATAATATTCGTTGGATACTACTAATTCGCAATGGCCATCCAAGATGAGACGTATACCGCTGTAAGAGTTCACAAAGAGCGGTTGGTCTCTGCAGCGATAGCGCAGTTTGTAGGTTTCAGGATTGTGAGGACGGTGAAGAAGATTCGAAATTTGAATCCTTGGTCCTTATTTTACTTTTCAAGAAAACACGTTCCAAACGCTTACAAAAATACTGAAAATGGTAATACAATGCGAGTTCTCCCTTACCTTAACCAACGACTAGAGCCTAAAAATTGGGTTGCGAAGTATACGGCAGCTCTACGCACTTTTGACAGAGGAGGTTGGATGACTTATGTGACCGTAATGCTTTTGGGAAGAACAATGTATTCTACTTGACCGGAAATGTGCCAGTACATCTCTGTTGAC